GTGTGTGTGTGTGTGTGTGTGTGTGTGTGTGTGTGTGTGTGTGTGTGTGTGTGTGTGTGAGTGTGTGTATGTGTGTGAGTGTGTGTGTGTGTATGTGTGTGAGTGTGTGTGTTTATCGGGACCCACACATGAAAAGCACACTCATTCTACATCATTACAGTACTAAAGGAAGGACTGCTGTGATTCGGACAGATCATCATTGATCACGCATGTGCGTTTCACGCTTTGCATTTGTTTTCCTGTGATGTATTCATCACTAATGTTTTGATTTAAACGTCTCACTGAGGTTACATTATCTACAGACAGATACATAGATGAAGTGTTTTTGACGAGAACGAGTTGTGCTAGCTGTGAAATCATCAATTAAAATGAGTTGAACATTAAATTATATATATATATATATATATAAATAAAACAATAGAAATCTTATTAAAAACTATAAATATTTAAAATAGTTAATAGAGTTGAACGTTAAATTGTTACATTGTAAAACTGTATTCCAGCATTAAATACATCAGAGCTTTAAAAAAAAACTTAAAATAATAAATAACCATCATAAGCATAACCATAGCCATAAATCTCTAATTTAAAAAACATTAAATTGTTAAATTATAAATATTTTCTAGCATTCAGCTTTTTTGTAAAGATAACTTCATGAAATAAATAATAGAAATCTTGCTAAAAATAGATATTGAAAACAGTTGTTACTTGATACTAATTGATTGGTAACACTGTATTCCAGCATTAGTTAGATCAGCAATTCGCAAAAACTTAAAATAATAAAAATATTGATTTAAAATAGAGATTTAAAATAATTAGTTGAACAAACTTTTAAAATTATAACACCGTTTTCTAGCACTGAGCTGTTTTGTAAAGACAACTTAATGAAACAATAAATAATAAAAGTCTTGCTAAAAAAAAAAAAACTGATAAAAATAGTTAAAATAGTTAGCAGAAAAAAAGTCCTTGCCTTACAAAGAAGTACTGTGATAGTACCACATTTTACAACAAATAAAATCAAACCAGTGGTTTTTGGATGAATTTCACATTTGTAAAACACAACTGGATTAAACTGTAGACGTAAAGTTGTGCATTAACTAGCAGTGGAGATCAGTTACAGCAGGTTTGTGTCTTACCTGTTATCAATGATGTATCCATTCTGTGAGGACTGTAACGAAAAATGAAAAGGTATGCACATTTACAAAGTATAAAAACAACAACAGAGCAGAATAAAATAAAACAGTACAATAAAAACAACTTCTGCAATTAAAACGAATCACTAAGACATTTATTGTGCATTCTGACGTATGCATTTTTTGCACTGACCTAGGAGAACAATTTGCAAGTTTAAACATGGTTTCATGAATTCTGATTGAATTTAAGGATCCTGCAGAGCTGTCTATAGTGTTATTGTGCTTTTTTTGTAGGGCTGGGACAATAAATCGATGCATCGCGTTTCGTGAATCGATTCTGAGATTTTCCGAAGACATCGTGATTCTCTCTGGAATCGATTCTGAGCTTAGTTTTTAACAGCAGATGGCGCTCTAGGGTAGTTTTTAACCGCACACTCAAATGCTCACGAAGAAGAGCGCTTGTGCGTTCGGCTGAGTCATGTAAGGGGTTAAATGTACTTGCACAACGGCTTTTATGCTTTTATGATGCGAGATTAACGTAAACACAGCCCACTGTGAACATCCTTGTAATTCACTTCAACCTTTTCGAACTTTATGAATGATTGTTTTAGTTTTAAGTGGTGCGTGTGTAAGGAACTGGAAGCAAGCAGAATACAGCTATTTCTAAAGCACGCAGTGCCATCTGCTGTTAAAAACTAAGCTCAGAATCGATTCAACAGAGAATCGTGATGCCTTTGGGAAATCTCAGAATCAATGCAGAATCATTTCTTGATGCATCGATTTATTGTCCCAGCTAGGGCTGGGCGATATAGCTAAAAAATGTATCAATGGTATAATGTTTCATATCGTTTGGTATCGATAATTATTGACATTTTTTATAACCTTTTTTAAAACAAAGAGCAATAGAATTTTTTTTTTACATTTAACCACTGTATTTTTAAATTAACTCAAATTATTGAGTCAAACAACAATATTTTTTTTTTGTTTTAACAGTCAAACACAAAATAAAAATTAAACAAATATCTAATTTCTAATGTTTTATATGCAGATTAAAAAGGTTAAACTTTTGTCTCGTCTCCCGAGGCCACAGGAGGGCGCAATGAGCAAAATAATGCAGCACAATGTCAACGCATGGAAATAACTGTCTATAAAAAAAAACGTGCATTACATCTAAATTAACTCATATAAATCAAATATAATTTTGTAAATTGCATAAACACTTATGAACAAAATAGCATCATGTATTTACGCATTGCTTAATCCAAAAAGCCGAAGTGCCCATCACACAGACTGCATTTAAAACATACGAGTTGCAGTGAAAAGGAATAAACCTCCACAAATTCGCGACGTGTTTTCTAAAAGTTTAAACTGTTTTAAATTTGCATGGCTTTCTATACATCTCTTGTGTGAGACTCGAGTGCACCAGTCATATTTGTCCATCTAGAAAATGCGCTGAATATGCGTTCTGTGTGAATTACTTGGTTTCGGTTTTAACCTAATCAAGATCTTCTCCGCATTGAGCTTCTATATTTCTCTAATATTTTGAATGAATAACGCAGCAACTGCGCGCGTCTCGTGGGCTAGACTAACATTAACAAAACAAACTACATCGTCACTTACATCATCATCACCGCATCTCGTGCTCCACTGATGACGCTCACCTAACATTCGATTGTACTATTTTTGCATTCAAATGCAAATGTTTATTTTAAATTCGACTAATATTCATTCTTTACTCACAATCTCCTCATCACAGGCAGGCACAGCACTCATGCTCATGTTTGTGTGTGCTGTCTGCGTCACTCATAGCACGTGCCTATATCGAACATTTTTAATATCGTTCTCGAAGAAGGTGTACCGTCGATAAATATCGATACAGTGTTATCGCCCAGGCCGAGTCCCAGCCCTATTTTTTTTTTATTTTTGAGACAGATGAACTACTAATTATTCAAAAACTGTTATGATGTTCCACAGACACCAGTTAACAGCTTTTGTGTATCACTGAAACATGCATTTTCTGTAAAGCTGCTTTGAAGCAATCTGTATTACGACAGCCGCTATATAAATAAATATCTGAACTGAAATTTGACCAGAACGCTTGCATGCAAGCCTGTGTTCTTACTTCTCGTGCAAAGATGCGATCTCTGACGCGCTGGTACTCCTCCTCTCGCTCCTCGATGGACTTACTGCGGCGGCCGTCTTGCAGCGGTACCCGGATCTGAGACGCGAGACAATCAGATGCACGACCGAAATGTGATGCAAGAGTGAAATGGTGCGACTCACAAACCTGATTATCGTCTTTATCCATGCTGGCATCGTCTCGCTTCAGGATGAACTTCTTCTGGAAGTCCATGTTGCGCTCGTCTTTAATGTGCTCAGAGAACCTCTGCTCGGGGCTGAAACACACAGAGTTTGATTAGTTTAATAGACGATGCATCATTATCATTCCCATCATCCACCGCTGTCTTACATGCGTGTGTTGCTGGTCTTGTTGATGATGACCGCTTTGCCGGTTTGGTCCACGTTGTGATCCATGCCAAAGTAGGCAGCGACCCGATGCAGCAGCATGCGATGATATGAGGTCATTTGAGGAAACTTCTTATACTGATTACTGGAAAAACAGATGCAAAAACAACCTTAGTACAAAGAAATGACGACGCATTTATCACAGCAGCACCACCCTTCACCATAATAATAATAATAGAGAAAACTAAAATTAACTGTTTAATAAAAACTATCCTTGAAATTCATGCAAAAACATGCTAAGTAATAGAGCAAAACAACCACACTACTGCAATACTCACAATCCACCAAAAGGGGGCAACAAATATCACCTACACCAGTGGTTCCCAATCGTTTTAGAGTGACTTCAATGAACGAATCATTGAATCAATTACTTTCACGAACGATTCGTTCAAAGCCACTGATCCGTTCACGAAACACCGCTGTGTGTTGTATTTCTGCTGAACTATTATTTCATTGCAAAATAGAGCAAATACTGACAATACTGTGAAGAACATCACTTAATTTTACCCTTTTGTTTGTTGAACGGTTGTATAAAATCAATGTCACATTTGCAATCGTGTCGATATTTGGATTTGCATTCTTGATCGTATAATATTATCAACATTAAAAACAAGAACTCGCAAAAGGTACGTTTTGTATCAAGAGTTTGAATCTTAAATTGATCTCTATGCACCTTCTGTGCCAGGCTATTTGTTCTTCATGCTAGTAAGTGCTAAATTTATTAATATTTGCTGAGGCAGCAGCACGCAACCTATATGCACCCATATGCACGCTGCTTATGTGGAAAAGGATGCAGTCAGTTTTGACCGCAAAAGATGTGGTATTTTGATTGGATGTCATTTAATTATTATTTATTATTATTATTATATATTTACATGCACACATTTTTACAAATAATGAGACAATATATAGATATTATTACTATTATTATTTTATATTTAATTTAATTTTGACTTAATATAGATATTTTATTATTATAATAATGTTTTTTAACAAAATTAAATTTTTACAACCACATCTATTTGGATACGTAAAATTTAAATATTTTAAAGACTATATACATATACGTAAAACAAATATATAATTTATTATTATTATATTTAGGTTCATATATATTTAATTTGTTTTAATTAATTAATAATACATTTTATTTATAGGCGTCTTTCTCAACACTCAAAGACACAGCACAATAAATTTACAAACAAGACAATAAAAAACAAACAAGAAATACCATATACAAAGACAACAGAGTAAAGTAAATTTAATTAAATATGAATTATTATACAGACTTACTTCTCATCATTAATGAAATCCAGGATATCCTGTTCCAGCTTGAGCAGCATCATTCTGTCTCTAAAAGAGTAAAGGAGGATTTACAGGTAAAAGTGATGCAGAAGAACAGAAAAAACTAATCAAATGGAAGCTGCCGCTGCATTCAGATTCACATACTTCACTACGTACTTTGATGATGATGGATTCATCTGTAACTAGGGATGTAACGATATCAAAATCTCACGATGCGATAATATCTCGATATGAAGTACACAGTACAATATTGACTGCAGTATTTCAAAAAATAAAAGACAAATGAAGAATTGGAAAAAATTAAAATTTTGTACATTTTAAAGTTAAATTATTATATCTAGTGCACTTTGAGTTCAAAATTAAGAGCTCCATCCCTTGTTCTTAACTTTGAGTCCCTTTAAAGAGGACTCAACCCTCTTTTTATTTGTGGTATACTGTCTCAGTCTAAATTACATTCACACTGGGGTTTTAGGAAGCCAAAATAATTAGAATATAATAATAACAACAATGACAGTAATAGCCATATATTCTAAAACAACTGCACTGTAAAATAAATTAAAATGAATATTTCATAGGTATATTATTTTTGCTTTACACTACAGTAGAGAAAATACAATACTTCTTTCCTAATTCAGGGATTAAAGTTCCATCGCTACGACAGATTTCCGTCAGTTCATAAAGACAGTCACTTGCTACATTCCTGAATGATTCAGCCGTTCGAACGAATCAATTGAATGAATGATTCAGCCGTTCAAACAAATCAATTGAATGAATGATTCAGTGATAAAATCAGTGACTTGACGCCGCCTGCTGGTGGATTTAGTTTCATTTTTAGCATATAATTTCAATTATTTAAATCATATTTCTGTATTCAAAATTTCATATTTAAAACATTAATCTCCATGAAGACAAGTAAGTTACCAATCATATGAAATTAGTATTAACAAATTAATTTGTACTACAGAGGTGGCAGAGAAGAACACAAAAGTGGCTTGTAGGTACATTTTCAGAAACTTCTGAAAATGTAGGCCTACCTACAAGCCACTTTTGTGTTCTTCTCTGCCACCTCTGTAGTACAAATTAATTTGTTAATACTAATTTCATATGATTGGTAACTTACTTGTCTTCATGGAGATTAATGTTTTAAATATGAAATTTTGAATACAGAAATATGATTTAAATAACTGAAATTATATGCTAAAAATGAAACTAAATCCGCCAGCAGCTGGCGGCAAGTCACTGATTTTACCATTCATTCAATTGATTTGTTCGAACGGCTGAATCATTAATTGAATCATTCATTCAATTGATTCGTTCGAACGGCTGAATCATTCATTCAATTGATTTGTTCGAACGGCTGAATCATTCAGGAATGTAGCAAGTGACTGTCTTTATGAACTGACGGAAATCTGTTGTAGCGACGGAACTTTAATCCCTGCTAATTTTTACACTTGAAAGAGATATTTTGAATTTGGACTGCATTTAAATGGCTAGCTGTCAGCTATTCATACTGCACTTTTATGCTTTTTTACAGGCTTACAAAAACACGTTTCACTATAAATCTAGTGAAACGCTGTAATCATCTGACGTGAAAAAGCGTGACTGGTGTCTGTTGCGTTCCCAAACACGCGCTATATACATATTGTCATGTGACCACGATATTGATAATACCGTTACATCCCTATTTTGTATCACATGTAGAATGTCCTAAAACTTCATGTTATACAGGTAATACTAATCTTGATACTACTGAACACTTAGTAAGATAATATTCATGCAAACATCAGCATATTAATACATCACCTTAAAATTCACTACATATTCACATATGTGTCCCTGGAGCACAAAAGCAGTGTTAAGTCGCTGGGGTATATTTGTAGCAATAGCCAACAATACATTGTATGGGTCAAAATTATACATTTTTCTTTTAAGCCAAAAATCATTAGGATATTAAGTAAAGATCATGTTCCATGAAGATATTTTGTAAATTTCCTACCGTAAATATATCAAAACTTAATTTTTGATTAGTAATATGCATTGCTAAGAACTTCATTTGGACAACTTTAAAGATGATTTTCTCAATATTTAGATTTTTTTGCACCCTCAGATTCCAGATTTTCAAATAGCTGTATCTCAGCCAATTATTGTCCTCTCCTAACAAACCATACATCAATGGAAAGCTATTTATTCAGCTTTCAGATGATGCATAAATCTCAATTTTAAAAAATTGACCCTTATGACTGGTTTTGTGGTCATTTAGGTTTATACACTGAAAATCCCTGAAAGTTGATGGAAAATATCACAAACTCTTTCTCTCTGTACTGAAATCTGGGTTCCTTCAGCACACTCACTACTATGATTTAAAGCTCACTTCTTCTCGTATAACACTTAGTATGTGATTTGGGACGCGGCCAGAGTGATCCACAGGAAAAGCCGAGTGTAACCAGAGACAGATGAGTTTGTGTGAGACGCCGGCGGTGTCTGATATCAGTGTTGTGTCTGAACATCAGACCGAGGCTGTCGTACCTGGGGTTGTTTTTCAGTGTGTTCACCAGGAACTCGTGCACATCGATCCCTGTGGAATCAGTGTATTCCTGACTGGAGTCTGGAAGAGAACGGAGAACAGAATCAGATGGGTGTCAATGCGGAAGGACAACAGTAAACACTCAATTTTCAGTTAAAGGCAGTTCATCATTGAATTCAGTGATGTCAACATCCAGCTCAGTTCAGTTCAAAACAGACCTACAGGTTATTTAGTTAAACACAAGTCATTTTTTATAGGATTATAATATTTTGTTGCATCATGCACCCATATAGAGTGCATTAGTGCTGCCACTGGTATTTTTCCCATTCATTTCTTCCCATACGGATTTGATAAAATTCTATGTTAAAGCATTATAAGCCACGGATCAAACCAACCAGCTACAGTACGAGGAGTATCACAACATTACATGCAAATTTGAAGAAGGAACATATATGAAAAATCAGACAAATATACAAGACTGTGTACCTAACAGCTTTAATGATGGAAAGAACTACAATCTCATGTAGCACTGTGAATGACAAATTAAAAATGACAGAGAAAATCTTTAGAAACATTTTAATTGTATTGTAAAATATGCACGTGTATACAAATATTTAAGTGCTTTGAATTGGCCCGATTATGTCATTTGCCGCGCATCATGGGAGTGGGCGGAGCTTTGCTCGCTGAAACTCTCTGATTGGTGGAATTTTTCTGTACAGCATCATGGGTAATGTAGTTTTTCACCACAAATTCTACTTATAGCATGATTATTTAAAAACAAAATACGCTGAATTAATGAAAAAGGAAGGCTTTAAACATTTCTGTCTTTAAAGGTTTATAAGTTACTGTTAAAAATCAATGTCCTTATGGAGAAAATTAATGGAGTTTTTATTTCTAGAACCGACTGTTGTATTGTATGTTGATTACAGGAACTAGTTTCAACAAAACACACCATTAAAAAGGAACGTCTTACCACGCGAGAGCATCTTGCGTGGAGTTTTATCCTTCTTTTCCCTTTCCTCATTCTCGTACTCGTCTTTCGAGGATTTCTCCTCCTCTTTATCCGATGGACAGCTGATGTGAAGCTGAATGACGTCCTTCATGGGCGGAGTCAGAATAAACAGACAACACATGAATATTCATGACTATATGAATATTAATGACCATATCCTAATGGTGTTTTACAGACTCAATTTTATTTGCCAAAACACACTTTGCACAGTCTACACTTCAACCTTTTGAAATCAGAGTCTGAGTTTTGGTAAATAATGCACGATTCTTTATAGTCACTGCCTTGATCAAGACACCAGCGTTTGTGTATTTACCTGTGATTCTAGAGGACAGTCGGTTGAAAACGGTCCTGAAGATTCTTCACAAACTGCAAGACTCCTCACCAGCTTGAGCTTTGCATTCGACTGCGACCGATTGGACAAATACAGGACAAAGTGAAGTTTTATTTCAGGCAAATGGAACAGAAAAACAGCTGTTAGTTTTGAATACTGTGCTGCTTCTGGTGCCGTCCATCAACTAATTAGAAGTCAATATGAAAGCAATTTACTTCAATTTCAGTTCTTATTGAAAACTTCTGCATTCGTAACCTTCCATTAAAAAGTAATAACTCTCCTCATCTCTACAGCATCTTTTCTGCTGATGCAAACGAGACTGTGACAGCAAGAGACCATATGCTGCCTGGATGATTATATTTATGCGACTAGTACAAAGTGGTAATTACTAGTTGGAAGCTCTCTGACAGGAAGCGCTGTCAATTAAAGAATCATAATGAGATACAGAAATCTGAAATTGCCCAATGCATCTATTTTATTCTAAATGCATTGAATTTATTTAATACACGAGTTTCACAATCTGAGTTGAATTACTGAAATAAATGAACTTTTCCACGACATTCTAATTTATTGAGATACACCTGTATATCATGCTGAAAGTAAAATTTCAGAAACCCTAAATAGGAACTTCCCAGAAGGGGTTAAATATGTTTTCAATCAGATTCTAATAGATACTAACATACAGTCCTGCTTTATTTTCTGCTGAGTGTTTCGCTAATGTTACATCATGCATGTTAATGCTTTGGAAATGTTTAATTTAATTTTGTACGGGCGGTTAAATGTGGTCTGAGTGTGTGTGTGTTTGTGTGTGTGTGTACCTGGTATTTATCACGTTATGGGGACCAAATGTCCCCACAAGGATAGTAATACTAGTAAATTTTGACCCTGTGGGGACATTTTTGAGGTCCCCATGAGGAAACAAGCTTATAAATCATACAGAATTAGTTTTTTTGAGAAAGTAAAAATGCACAAAGTTTCCTGTAAGGGGTAGGTTTAGGGGTAGGGTAATAGCACATACAGTTTGTACAGTATAAAAACCATTACGCCTATGGAATGTCCCCATAAAACATGGAAACACAACATGTGTGTGAGTGTGAGTGTGAGTGAGAGAGAGAGAGAGAGAGAGAGAGAGACTACTAAATGACTAAATGTAATGTAATATTTCTATTATTATTATACATTTATTTTGCATACAACTGAATGGTTAATTCAAATTTTTGCATTGAAAACTAATATATAAACAACACAAAACCTACACACAAGATTTCATGCAGTAAGACATGTGACTGAACCTACACCCAGAAACGCAGATGTTATGGGTCTGTAACGTCGAGGTTAAACTCGACTGACTGCTAAAGCCTGTCATGTTTAGGACTGAGCTACAGACAGCAGCAGAAGTGTGTGTGTCCTCGCATGCTTTACCTTGGCTCGTTTCCTAGTGTGGCCGTGATTCTGACAGCGTCGCTGCGGGGAAAGACCAAAATATTTATTAGTGAACATTAAAATCATTCATTAATGATGAACTTCAGCACCAAACAAAACCTCAGCGGGGAAATGACAGATACTTCACAAATGGGTAGCTGACAAATAACATGGAGAAAATGCATTTTATTCGACATCAAGATTTTACATCAAAATAGGGCTGTGCAATTAATCGAAATAGTTTCGATTTCGGCCGCCAACGATTATGAAAATACAATAATTCCATAATAAAGGGGCCCCATTCCACCCCCTGTGCGCATTCGCTTCTCTTAAAAGCCCAATTTAACGTGCAAATCAGTAAAATCGTGACACTTGCAAGTTGCAAGTACAGTTATGTTATAAATGGATGTAAAGAGTTGAGAATGAAAATACATGTGTAACAGTAAACTGGATCCGTGCAGCTCTTAAAGTGACAGCAGCCTAATATTCCGGCTGCTAACTGTGTGCTTAATATTAATCAAACAACAAAAGACAAAGACAAAATCACTCCCTGCTCTTGAGTGAAGGACTTTTGTAGCTTTAATAAGAAACAAATGAAGTTTAATTCTTACAGTGAAAACTATGCTGTTTTATTTTACATTTGATTATTCATTTCTGTAGTAGGCCGTTAACTGAATACTTAAAAAAACTTAAAAGCTGTTTGTTTCATTTGTGTCTTTTTATTCTATTGTATTTGTACTTTTATTTTTTATTACTGACAGTCTAATTATTTCCAATAATTTTGAAGATTTCTTTTTTTTTTAACTAATATTAGTTATTATAGTACTCTGCTGTGATATTGAGAATTGTGAAATTTCGTTGGTCTCTAAAATGTAGATGTTATAGCAACCTTATTTACAGAAAATATATATCACTATCTTTAAATAAATCACTCATATAAAGTTTTGGTCACATGGCCCACTCATAACGGTGTTAAATAATCGTGATTACAATATTGACCAAAATAATCGTGATGATTTAAAACTAAATAATAGGTTAGAATTTACATGTGCATTAGTATAAATATATATTTCTGGTGCTGTAACTGGTCACCATTTGATCTCCTTTTACCCTTTTTTTCCAGTTCACTTAAATCCTGTTCTGTGGCAGATCAAATAGTTTAGATTGAGTTTTGAATGTCAGAGCACAGGACACTGCAAGGCATTAGGCTTTTATATTATATGCTTGATAAGCTAAAATCTAACTATATACGTTATCATTTAGAACTTTCTTTGAAAGAAAGCAATACTTATATTAATCAAGAACATTAAATGAATCAAACGTGACAGTAAAGACATTTATAATGTCTCAAAAGTTTTATATTTTAAATATCTATTCTAAAATTCTATTCATCTGTGAATCCTGAAAAATAAAATGTATCAGTTTCCACAAAAATATTGTGCAGCACAACTGTTTTCAACATTGATAATAATCAGAAAGGTTTCTTGAGCAGCAAATCAGCATATTAGAATGATTTCTGAAGATCATGTGACACTGAAGACTGGAGTAATGATGCTGAAAATTCAGCTGTGCATCACAGAAATAAATTACAGTTTAACAGATATTCACTTAGAAAACAGCTGTTTTAAATTCTAATAATATTTCACAACTTTTGATGTATCTCTGATCAAATAAATGCAGCCTTGGTGAGCAGAAGACTTTTAAAACAATAAAACTTCTTACAGACCCCAAAGTTTTGAATGCTAATGTAGCGGCATCTAAGTAAGTGCAAAAACATCATCTAGATTTGTGGAAGACCAAGGAAAGTCTAAGTAGCTATGTTTCCATCCACTTATTTTTATGCGCATTTTAGAATATTGCATAAAAAAGCCGCTGTATGGAAACGCCAAGATGTGCATAAATTCTAAAAATGTGCATGAAAAAAAAATTATGCACACAATCGAGTAGAATACTTTTTATCCGATAAGAAAAAATACGCATAAACTATGACGAAACACATTTACCGAATAAATTCCTCCATGCATCGAAAGTCATGTGACTTTGCGCTATGAGACGGGATAACTTGACTAACCAGCGGACCGATCTCGTTCACAGCATCTATATGTTGTTTTGGTCGTTCTGAAAGGCCTGAGGAAAGTCTGTCATCGAAATAGCCTATTTCTGTACAATTGTCTTACACGACTGCGTTCCCAAACAGCAGCATCCACCTCCGAAAGCATTGACTGCATTTATTGCGTTTCGTCTGCTCGCTCGGAGGCGCAAGTAATTTATCACATGTGACCCTGGAGCACAAAATCAGTCATACATAGCACAGGTATATTTGTAGCAATAGCCAACAATACATAGTATGGGTCAAAATTATCGATTTTTCTTTTATGCCAAAAATCATTAGGATATTAAATATTCCATGAAGATATTTTGTACATTTCCTACCGTAAATATATCAAAACTTAATTTTTGATTAGTAATATGCATGGCTAAGAACTTCATTTGGACAACTCCGCTATTTATTCAGCTTTAAGATTAATTAATTTTAAAAATTGACCCTTATGACTGGTTTTGTGGTCCAGGGTCACATATATGAAAATTATTATATTCACTGGCTTCTCCTAGTTTTCTTAGTGATATTTAGTGCCAGTTTATCAGCAAGTGACAATTTTGTTCTCTTTGACTCGTTGGATAGAAACGGTGCTTTACTCGCAAATGTTTTATGCAACATCCAGTTTTGCGCATAAGTGAAATTCGAATCTTTGGATGGAAACACAGCTAGTGTTTCTGTGTCTCACCTGTGCATCCTGGGAGAGGTTGTCGTCTGGTTCTGTGCTGTCGGCGTTGGTGTCTTTAGCGGGCGCCGACGGGCTGCTTTTGCCATGGATGCCTGCGGAAGCATCGGTGGACAGAGAGCCATCACCCTCCTCCGTCCCGTCAGGTGTGAAGACCACAGACATGATCCCTCAAAGCGCACACCTCACAAACCCTGAACTCACAAACATGAGCGCGTGAGGAGGAGATGCAGTTTGAGCTGTAATAATACGATTTTTTGGTCATCAGTATTTTGTTATCAAACACAGTTCAGTCAGTCTTTACCGGACACACCTGGGGCTGTAGTGTGATGTGTGTGTTCTTCTGCGTGTATGTGTGTGTGTGTGTGTGTTCCTATGGCTGAGATGAGGGCGGGGAGGACGTCATGTTGAACGAGTGTCTTCTCAGTTTCCTTGCATGCTGTGCGACGTTCTTACAGACACAATCGTCACAGCTCCACCTGCTGGAGAGAAACACTGCTTAGATGAGATGGAAAGCACAATATGAACAGATTAACTCAAGATATATATGTGTTTAAGTGTGAATACAGCAGCAGACGGTATGAATATTTCTCTAAGGCTGAATGCATCTGCGTGTGTAAACAGACATGCAGCAGTAGCGTGTGTGTGCATGAAGTCATAAGCCCTGTTTGGCATGAAATACTAGCACACTACTTACTGAAGAATGTGCAGTATATACTGTACACAGCCTACTAGGCTAAAAACAGCAGTATGCAATTATAAACACAGTTGTCACATGAACCAAAATCAGAATGAGCTTTACTGCCAATAGTGTTCAAGCACACCAGAAATTTGTCTTGGTGAGAGAAGCATCCAGAACACAGAAATAAAGCAAAATAATAAATAAAATATAAATAATAAAATATAATAAATTGATAAAATTAAAAATATACAAGTAAAAATAAACAAAATAAAATCAATTAATTAAAAACTATATATTACATATAAAAGAAAAGAAAAAATAAAATACACAAAATAAAAAATAAAAAATACACAAGGTACAGATTAATGTTTATGCAGATATTATTACAGAAATATGGGAAATGTACTAAATGGAAATTGTGACCATATGTACAGTATCGGCACTTTTAATAAAAATAATTGAATGCATGATTAATTTATTGAGCTCAACTGCAGCAAAAAAAAAAAAAATGTTTCAACAAATTTTGTACAAATGTCTAATCTGTTCACAGTTCAACCAAATGCTGAGTGAAGAAGGACGATATCAAAGACGACACCACTTCGTCTTCATTCATTATACTTGAAATAGAAGAATGTATTGTGCATTGCATTATGGGATACAGTGTATCTAATGCAGTGTACTGCACATTTGGGAAATGTAGGTCATCCAGGATTTCTGCAAGCAGAACGATCATATACTGCACAGTTTACACACTACATACTGCAGAAACCCGACGAGGAGTGTGACAGTATGATTCTTACACAGTAATGATGAGCATTCGTCCAAAAACACATTAGATCTGTGTGTGTGTGTGAGTGTGAGTGTGTGTGTGAGAGAGTGTGTGTGAGAGTGTGTGTGTGTGAGTGAGTGAGTGAGTGAGTGAGTGAGTGAGTGAGTGAGTGAGTGAGTGAGTGAGTGAGTGAGTGAGTGAGTGAGTGAGTGAGTGAGTGAGTGAGTGAGTGAGTGAGTGAGTGAGTGAGTGAGTGAGTGAGTGAGTGAGTGAGTGAGTGAGTGAGTGAGTGAGTGAGTGAGTGAGTGAGTGAGTGTGTGTGAGAGAGAGTGTGTGTGTGTGAGTG